TGTGATTTAAAAGTGGCTGAATGGCGTCGAGAATTAGAAGATCGTGATCTGGAGACGACAGGAAAGAAAGCAGAGCTGGCAGAGCGGTTTAAAGAAGCACTAGAAAGTGAAGGTTTGGATCGGGAAACATATATATTTCCTGATGATGCGTCATCTATAATTTCTTCTTTGGAAAGTAAAATGTCTTCCATGGAAAGTAAATTTTCTTTAGACCTTTCCTCCTTAGGAAGCAAAGTTTCTTCCTTAAAAGAAAAGGTGTCTTCTGACATATCTTCTTTAAAAACCGAAATATCTTCCGACTTAGAAAACAAATTCTCTTCTTTGAAAGATGAAATTTCTTCTGATATGTCTTCACTAAAAAAATGAAGTCTCTGATGTGGAAAACAAGATGTCTTCTGTAGAGGAGAAAATAAAACAGATGGAAAAGAAGATAGAAGAACTCGAACATACAGAACCGGCCAAGGACGGTGAAATAAAGTGCCATGAGGTGGAGTCGAAGTTGAAATTGGAAGGAGCTGTAAACTCTCCTCATGTTAAAGCCCCAACTTTCGACGGAAAGATGTCATGGACCAATTACCTTAAATAGTTCGAGACAGTTGCAAGAGCAAACGAATGGTCTGAACGAGAGAAGGCAGTAAATTTGACCATCGCCCTTCGAGGAGACGCTTTAGATGTTCTTCAGACAATACCTGTGGAAGAAACGGATGATTTTAAACAACTCAAAAAGAGACTAAACCTGCGATATGGCCACGAACACTTGGAGCATTTATACCAGTCACAGTTGAAGAATCGCAAACAGAAACGAGACGAGACCCTTCAAGAATATGAAGTAGATATTGCCAGGTTGGTGCGATTTGCTTACCCATCAGCTCCAGAAAATATGATAGAATGTTTGGCAGTCCAAACATTTGTTGATGGACTCCGTGACCACGAGATGCAGAAAACATTCCGCTTAGCTCGCCACCAAACATTGGTCGATGTCTTGTCCACTGCTTTAGAATATGAGGCAGCTACGCAGGCTTCTGGTGGATACAGTAAAGCAAGTACTGTAAAAGAAGAAGAAGAGGATGGTAAACTCGATCAACTGGTAAACATGATGAAGAGCCTTACTGACAGAAAGATAAAGACGAAGACTATCAGGTGCTGGAATTGTGGTGAACTAGGACATGTACGCAGTTCATGCAAACGCCCTAGGGTCCCAACATCTGAAGACAACACGCCGCAGGAAAACTAGAGCGGGTCGGCCTAGAGGGGCAGCTTCGACCCGAAACCGTTCCAAAGACCCTCTCATACTGATAGCCTCTTTGAAATGTCGCGATGATAGTGGATACGTAGACGGCGAAGTAAATGGTAAAAAGTATACACTGTTGGTGGATACTGGAGCAACTAGGACTATTATACGACCAACAACCATAAATAATCGTAAGAAACTTCTACCAACAAGATTGCGACTGCGGACTGTCACAGGTGAAAGTGCCAACATCCATGGGGAAATCCAGGTTCAATTGGGAATTGGTACAGAAAAGTTCACTTATACTGTTATTGTCGCTGATATCGAAGAAGATGTTATAAATGGATGTAATGAACTTACATGGTTTCCAGTTAGACATTAAGAACAGACTGATCAAAGTTGGCGCCGAAGAGGTATTCCTACATCCATATGGGGACAGTACCGTGCCAGTTGGTGTACAGGAGGATACGGTGATACCTGGAAGAAGTAAAACCGTTATAGTAGCACGGCTTCAAGGAACTATGGAAGAAGGAACACTTGTAATGATGGAACCTTGGAACCACAATGAAGAGGTTGGACCAGGAATTCTGATTGGAAAGGGGTTAGTCACGACTGCTAAAGAGATTCCAGTTCGTCTTATAAACGTTAATGATCACCCAATTACCATCAAGAAAGAGACCAGAATCGGAACTTGTTTACCAGTAACTTCCATAATTCGTCAGACAACAACTTCTGATAATTCCGACGACAAATTCGAGCAAATGATTGCAGTTGCTGATCAATCGTTGAATCAATTAGAGAAAAAGAAAATGAAGGAATTTCTTCGACGATATCGTGACATTTTTGTACCAAAAGGAGGAAAAACAAGAATAACTTCAGTCGTAAAACATAAAATTCACACTGGTGATGCCAGGCCGATTCGTCAATCAGCTCGAAGAATACCAAAGGCTAAGAGAGAGGAAGCTGAAAGGATTGTTCAGGAAATGAAGGAAGACAGAGTGATAGAACCTTCTACCAGTCCGGTCTCTCCGGTAGTCCTGGTCCAGAAAAAGGTTATGTGCTTATGTTTAAAAGTGTTTTACTACAGTCAAGCTGCAGCACCTGGTACGCTGTCCATTTCACAGAAAAGAAGTATTTATAAGGTTAGCTCAAAATTCCAATAGCTAGGCCGCCAAACTAAAGAGGCGATAAGGTAAAGTAAAATACCCCTCAGCTCCCCGACATGGTCTATGTATTATATATTGAAAGACTTATGGAAAACGTATTAAGAGGGTTATCCTGGAAAACATGCCTGGTTTATTTAGACGACATAATAGTCTTGGGGAAGACATTTGATGAACATCTGAAGAACTTAGAAGATGTTTTTAAAAGACTTCAAGCTGCCCAACTGATGCTAAACCCCAAGAAATGCCAGCTATTCCAAAATAAAGTCAATTACCTGGGTCATATAGTCAGTAAAGATGGCGTGGCTGTAGACAAGGAAAAAGTCGCTTCTATCAAAGAGTGGCCACAACCAAAGGATAAAAACCAAATAAGAAGTTTTCTTGGGCTCTGTACGTACTACCGAAGATTCATAAAAAAGTTTGCAGATATTGTTAAACCACTAACGCGACTCACAGAAGAAGCGAGAGAATTCTGCTGGGACGAAGACTGCCAAACTGCCTTCGAAACTTTAAAGAAACATTTAACAACAGCACCAGAAGGAGAATTTATCCTGGATACTGATGCTAGTAATGTGGGAATTGGAGGAGTGCTTTCACAGATTCAGGAAGGGAAAGAAAAAGTACTAGGTTATTTTAGTAAAGTGATCTCGAAACCTGAACGAAATTACTGCATCACAAGAAGAGAACTCCTGGTAGTTGTAAAGTGCGTGAAACACTTTTACCAATATCTGTACAGAAGGAAATTTTTAATCCGAACCGATCATGCAGCCCTTAAGTGGTTGATGCAATTTAAGAACCCGGAGGGTCAAATCGCCAGATGGATTGAACGATTTCAAGAGTACGACTTCAAGATTGAACATCGAGCCGGAATAAGCCACAGAAATGTCGATTCTCTTTCTACAAGACCGTGTCCAGCAGAGTGTTCCCACTGCAACAAAGCGGAATCCAAAGAAAGTGGACTACTAAGAACAACTGTAGTAAACGATGAGTGGACCCCTGCTAAAATTAGGGAAGAACAAGAGAACGATACCGTTTTAAAGAAGATAAAATAACTTTATTTTAAACAAATCCCATATATCACTGATAAAATTAGATATCGGACGATTGAATTTTTGGTTTTAGACCAACTTTTTATGTAAAATAACTTTTTTCTAAAATTAATAGTAAAAAAATTCCATGTGTTAAGTTAGCGGCATATGGGAAACTTTTAGGATTACTTTTAGTGAAAAAAATATTTTTCAAAAAAAGTTATGCATGATCTAATATATACCTATAATTTCAACCATCTGATATCAAATTTTATCAAAAGTATACGATGTTTGTCAAAAATATGATTTTACTGAACAGTAAAGTACCTTTATTTTTGACAAACCTCGTATACAATTGTTAAAATTTGATATTAGATGACCGTATTTGAGGAACCACGTACAACTTATTATGTGGAATAATTTTTTACATAAAATTAATAATAAAAAAAGTTATTCTTTATAATAAGTGGTGCATGATCTAAAACTTAAAATTCAACCATCTGATATCAAATTTTATCAGTCGTATACGAGGTTTGATAAAAAATATGATTTTGCTAAAGAGTAAAGTTAACTTTATTTTTGATAAATCTGGTATACGATTGTGATCATATTTTAGCTTTTAGGTCATGCACAACTGTTTATGAAAAATAATTATTTTCCTAAAATTCATAAAATAATTTTTACTAATGCAGATCTAAATAAAGTATCGTGGATAAATAAGGTAATAAAAACACTTTTTTAATAATTTTTTTATTTTTTTATTTGGTTCTTTAGCTTTCGGTATATACAGGGTATTCCATAAATAATGGGACATAGAGCAACTTAAATCTGAATAAACGAAGCTTTCTTAGATAAAACGTTACTCGTTTCCGAAATCCAGGGTGTTAAAGTTGAAAATCAAAAATATGCTTATTTACCTGATTTTTTGCTGATAGGTGTATTTATGACACCAAAAACGTTTGCCGAATTTAGTAAAATTATACTGAGTAATAAAAAAATATAGCCATAAATAATTTTTACCTAAGCATGCTTCGTTTAGTCATCTTATTTTTAATCAGAGAATCTTCAGTTTTTCTATGTCCCATTCTTAACGGAACATCATGTATATTAGGTTCCTACCAAGACATTTGTCCTTTGACTGGACACAACGACGAACGACTAAGTAAATATACCGATATCCCGAATCTAAATCCAAAACTATTATTTACCTGCTACCTGCCAAATATTTTGCAAGGTCAAGAAGCTCGTGTGCCTATTGCGGTGGGGCTCGGGGTGCTAAAGTTATTTTAACAGTGACCGTTTAACTGCACAGTATTGCCATGTCCATTAGATATCCAAACTGGACCGAATAAATAATAAATAGAATTATAACGATATCTGTTAAACAAAAGAACTATTAAATATGGAATACTGCTCCATATGTTTAACAAAAGTATTTTTAAATATGGCACATAAATGACATCTATCAAAATTAGTTAATGTTACGAATATTGTAGTGGGCTTAAGGATTAATAATAAAAGAAACGATAATAAAAATATTACTTTTTAATTACTTCAATAAAAAATTTGTGTCACAAATCAGAATTCTGATGGTAATTTATAAAAAAAATCTTCGTAATCTTCCAAGTATTTCCAATATTTTTTACTTAATTCTTCACTATACGTATTCGTACAAATATCGTTCGAGACATTCCTGTTGATGCAAATGGGAATTCTCGGCGAAGGCTGTTGAACTGATACATCTGTTGATTTTGGCCGAGACCACAATTCTCGAATGTTGTTTTCGTTCAAAATCCTCTCGATATCTCTCAGACAAGGGCAGAGCCATGGATTGCCATTAATGCCAAATTTCTCTAATTTGGGTGTTTTATTAAAAAATGTGGATGGCAGATACATCAATTGATTACCATTTAAATAAATCTCTTGCAAATATTTCATTCCGGTCGTAGGAAACATATTCCAATCAAGTTCTTTCAGTTGATTGTTCATTAAATCCAAGTATGATAAATGCGGAGTTTGGTAAAAACTATTATTTTCTATTATTGATATATTGTTATTAGACAAAATGAGAATTTCCAAATTAGTCAATTTATTGAGCATATCTTTCGTCACAACAGTTAACAAGTTGTTATCAAGAAAAAGTTCTTTTAATTTTGGCACGTCGTAAAAAGGATCATTTTGTATATAATGTATATTGGAATTGTAAAAACTGATTGAGAAAAGTTGTGGGTCATTTCGGAAAAGGCCTCTTCTTAAAAATGGAATATCCATATTTATTATTGTTACAAATTCCAATTCCGGTAAATTGAAAAACGCTGATTCTTGAATATCTCCTATTTTAATAAATTCTATATGTACATCTTTTAAATGTGGCATATCTTTAAATGTTTCAGAAAATATTAGTCCTATTCGGTCGCCTGATATCTTAAGGTGTATTAGATTTTTCATGTTTCTAAATGCAGATATTCCAAGGGGTTCGGTGGTATTGATTATGTGTAAAGAGGTACAGTTTTCAAAAGTTTTGTTCAAACTTTCTCGAGAAATTTTTTTAATATTCCAACAAGATAACATGGTATTGTAACGATCTCCTATACACTGAGCATCTACACTTTCTAAAATCACTAAGGCAAAACATAACACTAAAGAAATTCCAATCGCAAACATTTTGCTGAGCATTTCTTATTATTTTTTAAAAAAAAATTTATTCGACCGTGAGATCACGTTGATCACGACTAACGAAAATGATGAACTCCAAAATAATTGATAAAATTTGTTTCGGAATTTCCCAACACTTATCATATTCTAATGAAACGAAAGGATGTTATTTGTTTTTTGGAATGGTCAGAAGATTATCAGTTGAAATCCATTTTAAATGTTTCAATATCAAATATAAAAAAAACATTATTTTGGTACGTATGTTAGATTTTATTTACAAGATTTTTCAGCGACCAAATTTGTAATAAAATGCGAAATCAAGCTTCAAATTTGATTTCAAATATTTGATTTCAAAGTTTCAATTTGCTTGAAGATAGTTCACAACAATACAGCTTAATAATAGAAATTAGACCAAAATGAAGCCAATTAATACTTGATTTTCTCAACAATAGCTAAACCTGCGCCTTTTAATATGCACCTGGAGCACGACTTGCTAATTGTTGTTTCGTGACACATACAAGATGGCGCAACAGTATTGCAAAATAACTATTCAATTATTATTAATCGATGTCAGAAAAAAACGTACATGCACAAACAAATAGAATAGTAGTTATTGTTTCGGTACTAAAACCTCTAGCTGGTCCAACTGTATATTTTATATTTAAGATAAATTATAAGTTATATTTTCTAGTTTAATCTTTATTCCAAATTTCATATGACATTGTATTTTCAAATCTACTATGACGGGTTCTAACAATATTGATTAGCCTTCTAATAAAATTACATTTAATATAAATGTCAGTGGCGTAACAAATACCAAACAGTTATTTTCACGATACATAAATACCGGTATGTTCCTGCGCATGCTAGCTGTGTTCTTGTCATATTATGATATGACGTCACATGACATACAAATCCGACGCATTTAAATAGATAATTACAAGTATTGAGATTTTTTCGATAATAAAAAACTGTAACATTACTTCATTGTTTATGAAGTGAAAGTAGAAAAGTTAATGTATAAGTACAAATATTGCACAAATTTTATGAACATTTAGTTCATTTATTATTGTAATTGAAACAAGAATAAGATATGTGATAAAGTACAATGAGCAAAGGCACTTTATTTTAATGAAACGTATCTTGCATAAGTTCCTAACAATAATGCACAATTTGAAAGAACAAGATTCGAGTAAAACCACTGACTATATCTCAGAATATAAATGCAACTACTGATGACTCAGTGCCAGGTCTTCGGGAGAAGGATCTGTGTAGGTAAGCTCTTGTTCAGAAACATTAGCTGCTTCTTTTAGCTGATCGCAGATTACGTTCTTCACATTTCCATTTCTGGGTTGCTGCGGGAAATTTGAGAATACTTAGTGTGGGCACAGCACGGCTATTTATGGTAATGTATTTCAACAATATTTGCTGTAAACGCACTTCGAAACAGAAAACATCGAAGTGTACAGAGCAAATTGGAGCTGCAAAAAGAACATTTACTTATAATATATGTACATGTAATTTATGTTTATGTAACCGAATCAGCATTTCCTTCTCGGCGACATGCTACAATCCACTGCTTAGACAGATCACATACTTTGGGAATCGAAAATATTTAATGTCAGATCCCTTCGTAATTTTACTATAATATTACAAGTAGGCACAGCACAACTAGACATTTTATAGTTTTTTTATTGTCATAATAAAATTGCTGAAGAAATCACCACCCTTTAAAAACATCAAAAAATGGGAAACACAAAATCAAAACACTTTAAACTCTTCCACTAGGTACTTCAAAAATAAACAGCACACAAGCAAAATACGTTTAACTCTTATTTATAATTTCAAATTAAACGCATAGGTATTAAAACGTAGCAAATTGCAGTATATCTTGAAACGATACATGCCCGGTACCTGATCTCTACGTGCTTGCACGGTTATAACAAGGCCGTGTTCGCATGTAAAGGTCTAGGTAACGGGCTTACATCGTAAACTACTATTACAGCACCAATCCGGTTATTTAATTGCCACACCTCGTACTCTCTAAAGAGGTCAGGGGACAGAGCATATGAATAAGGATAAAACTATCGTATTTTTCTTTTACGAAGCGGAAACTCAACTTTTATATTATTTTTGCAGGTAACGATCTCGCACGTGTATTACGATGGGGACCTGGTTACACAGGCGGTGAAGACCCTCTAAATCTTCTTAGAGACGTGATAGATGCCGAAGAAATCCGCTTGGACAGGTGGACCGTCGTTTTTCATCCCGAGGACAAACCAGACGACAGCAGTGTTAAGCAGGTCAACTCCACTGGTAAGAGGAGGCAAAAACTGTCCAAAATGAAAGTGACCAATGAGCAAATTAGAAAAGCAGGTCAATCTTAATGTGTAACTAGATGTTGTTTTGCTGTAATGAGACTAACGAAATATATATATAGATACAGTTTCTTTTTAAACTAGTACCTCTTGATGGTGTTAGATTGGAATTTAAACAGATCTTCTTAAAAACAATATTTAATAATACAATGTCGATTAACAATTAGATAGACTTTTAAAAAATAGTCGGTAAGTTACTGTTACTCTATTAATTATGAGGATGATTAGATGGGACATGAGACGTGATACTCGAAATAAAACAGTATATTATATCACAGGTGATGTACAATGTTTTTCCTACGATCACAAAAAAATGTCATCGAAAAAATGTAAAACCAATAAATCTGGTTATAAAGCTTCAATAAAGCTATGGCTGGTTTTAGATTTGTTTTTTTTATATGCCTTATTCAATAATTTTTAAAGTATTTTACGTATGGTGTTTAGTCGAAATTAAAAACATTGTGATTTCATAGGATGATAAAGGTAAAATAACATTAGGTACAAAAACATTAAACAACAAATAATAAAATAAACAATTGAACAATCGTAAACAAGAACTTTTTTATTATTAAAAATAGATTACCTACCTATTTACTTAATATGTTTTTATGAACAGTAATCAAAATAGTACAAAATAAATAGCAGAAATATTAACTGTAGAGGTTATACTATGATAAATAAGATCAATAAACAACAATAGTCATTTACAATTTTCATATTTTTCCAAAATAAATAAATTTAAAAAAGATTGTTTCTATTTGGAATTGAACTCACGTCGCGACGTGTCGCAACATGCTAAGTTGAACATTCTATGAACTGAGCAGGCTCATGACACATGAAGTATCTAATCAAATATATATATTAACCACAATACAAAAATCGCGTGCAGTACCGTACACGTGAGAGAAGTAAACCTTCTTAGAAACTATAGAATAAAAGAGATTACAGGTGTGGTGTGTGTGTGTGTGCCTCTTTCACTCTACCTTTTTCTCTCTTTCCACTCTTCCCCAGTCTACCCTTACTCTACTCCACCCTTCTCTACCCCACTCTATCCCCACTCGATCCCCACTCTATCTTCACTCTACCGCGCTCTTTATTCACTCTACCCCACTCTACACCTACTGTACGTCACTATACCCACACTCTACCCCAATTTACCTCACTCTATCCCACTCTACCGCACTCTACCCCTATTATATCCCCACTATAGCCCCACTATATTCCCACTTTATCCCCCACTCTATCCCCTACTCTATCCCCCACTCTATCCCCCACTCTATACCTCACTCTACCCTGTCTACTCTACCTCACTCCATCTTACTCCATTTTCTTCACTCCGCTCCGCCTCCACTCCAATTCCTGCTCCGCTCTCACTTCACTCCTTGTATCTTTCAAATAGAAAAATCGTGTATAAACTTTCAAGGTCAATGTTCTTTTAATTTCCTGACGTTACCCTGGTTACATGTGTTACAGGTTACACATGTCCCTACTCTCAGTGTTGCCAGAATATATTTTTGTAATGTACCAGATTTATCTAAAAAAAATGTACCAGATTTCATAAAAATGTACTAGACTCTATAAAATTACCAGATTTTTCTAATTATGAAGTATGGTCATTAAAGAGCAAAAAAGGTTTATGGAGAACACGAACACAACAATTTTAAACAATATTTTATCTCTCGACAAATTTCTGACACTATTTTATCTCTCGAGCAGTTTTTGAATAAGATTTTAATACCTTTTGGTACTCTTTTATCTCTCGAACAGTTTTTAAATCTTTTTTAACTCTTGAGCTATTTTGAAACAATATTTTATCTCTCGATAAATATCTAACAATATTCTATTTCTCGAGCAATTTTTAACAACTTTTTTTATCCCTCGAGCAATGTTTGCACAAATTTTTTTATAAAATTTATAAACACTATTTAATCACTCGAGCAATTTTTAACAGTTTTTTATCTTTCAAGCTATTTTTGAACAATATTTGATCTCGTGCAATTTTTGAGCAAAATTTTAACAATTTCTAATACTATTTTATCTCTCGAGCAATTTTTGATAAAGATTTTAATATCTTTTGATATTATTTTATCTCTCGAACAGTTTTTAAAAAACCTTTTTATCTCTTGAGCTATTTTTAAAAAATATTTAATCCGTCGATAAATTTCCAACAGTATTCTATCTCTCGAGCAATTTTTAACAACTTTTTTTTTATCCTGTGAGCAATGTTTGTACAATATTTTTTTTAACACTATTTAATCACTCGAGCAATTTTTAACAGCCTTTTTTACCTTTCAAGCTATTTTTGAACAATATTTGATCTCTCGTGCAATTTTTGAGCAAAATTTTCACAATTTCTAACACTATTTTATCTCTCGAGCAATTTTTGAAAAAGATTTAAGACCTTTTGATAATATTTTATCTCTTGAACAGTTTTTAAACAATTTTAAACAAATTTATAACAGTATTTTATCTCTCGACCAATTTTTAAAAAAGATTTTAATACCTTTTGATAATATTTTATCTCTCGAACCTTTTTTTTATCTGTTGAGCTATTTTTAAAAAATATTTTATCTCTCTATAAATTTCCAACGGTATTCTATCTCTCCAGCAATTTTTAACAACTTTTTTTTATCCTGTGAGCAATGTTTGTACAATATTTTTTTTAACACTATTTAATCACTTGAGCAATTTTTAACAGCCTTTTTTTACCTTTCAAGCTATTTTTTAACAATATTTGATCTCTCGTGCAATTTTTGAGCAAAATTTTAACAATTTCTAACACTATTTTATCTCTCGAGCAATTTTTGAAAAAGATTTAAGACCTTTTGATAATATTTTATCTCTTGAACAGTTTTTAAACAATTTTAAACAAATTTCTAACAGTATTTTATCTCTCGACCAATTTTTAAAAAAGATTTTAATACCTTTTGATAATATTTTATCTCTCGAACCTTTTTTTTATCTGTTGAGCTATTTTTAAAAAATATTTTATCTCTCTATAAATTTCCAACAGTATTCTATCTCTCCAGCAATTTTTAACAACTTTTTTTTTATCCTGTGAGCAATGTTTGTACAATATTTTTTTTAACACTATTTAATCACTTGAGCAATTTTTAACAGCCTTTTTTTACCTTTCAAGCTATTTTTTAACAATATTTGATCTCTCGTGCAATTTTTGAGCAAAATTTTAACAATTTCTAACACTATTTTATCTCTCGAGCAATTTTTGAAAAAGATTTAAGACCTTTTGATAATATTTTATCTCTTGAACAGTTTTTAAACAATTTTAAACAAATTTGTAACAGTATTTTATCTCTCGACCAATTTTTAAAAAACCTTTTTTTATCTGTTGAGCTATTTTTAAAAAATATTTTATCTCTCGATAAATTTCCAACAGTAGGTATTCTATCTCTCGAGCAATTGTTAACAACTTTTTTTATCCCTCGAGCACTGTTTCTTTACAATTTTTAACACTATTTAATCACTCCAGCAATTTTTAACAGCTTTTTTACTTTTCAAGCTATTTTTGAACAATATTTGATCTCTCGTACAATTTTTGAGCAAAATTTTAATAATTTCTAACCCTATTTTATCTCTCGAGCAATTTTTATTAACATTTTTAAATAATGTTTTATTTCTCGAGAATTGTTTTAACAGTATTTTTTAATTATCGAGTAATTTTTTAATAATATTTTAATAACTTATGATACTATTTTATTTCTCGAACAATTTTTAAACCTTTTTTTATCTCTTGAGCTATATTTAAACAATATTTTATCTTTCGATAAATTTCTAACATTATTCTATCTCTCGAGCAATTTTTAACAACTTTTTATCTCTTTAGCAAACTGCACAATATTTTAACTCTCGACAAATTTATAAAAATAGTTTAACTCTCGATAAATTTTTATCAATGTTTTATACCTCGAGCAATGTTTGTACAATATTTTAACTCTTGAGCATTTTTTAATAGTATTTTATCGTTCGATGAATTTTTAAACAATGTTTTATCTCTCGAGAAATATCTACTATTTTATCTCTGAAGTAATTATTAACAACTATTTTAATTTCTCTTGCAATTTTTGATCAATATATTTTACACTTCAAATGGAAACATACGCTGAAAAAAGTACTACTTATTGTTTCGAGGGTACTAGAGTACCAGATTCTCAGAGAATTGTACTAGACTGGCAACACTGTCACCACTGCAATACTAAAAGCAGCCGTCTGCATAAAACGCTGTTGCCGGATCTAATACTCCATTCTACCCTAATATGATCATTACATATATCAATATAGAAATTATGCTTCTAACATATTTGACAGCTAATGCGGGAAGTAAATTCATATTCACATACGGGCGAAAGTAGATTGTGATCTAGGGCGCTTCCCATAAGACTAAAAAGTGCGATATGTGGACGTAGGAAAAGATTTTCTCTCCAAGGTACCGAAAATACGGACCTTTTGCAGCAATTACTTCTTCAAGGAAAAAATTTTGGGGAATAGATGAAAGTTACTCGGTGGTAGACAACTTGTCTAATATGTCTCGAAAAGTTCAATCCATTACTCACTCAATGTGATTTTTTTTATTTATTGTTTATTAATGTGTTCTGTGTAGACTTTTCCACTGTTTTCCAGTACCATTTTAGAAACGTAACTGTTAAATAGATCCTAACAGTAAATCATCTCAACTCAATGTGCAAACTTTTATATACGTACGTACTCACCATAACTGGGAAGCTATCACCTAAATCTTCAATCACTCAAAACAATATCACATAATAAAGAAGGCCACTTAGAATCAGTAATAGTCAAACCTCGCGTACCATCAAAACATCCTCATATTTAAAAAAATAGTCTTTTTATGATCTTAGTAGAAGAATTCACGTAGAGTTGAAAATCATTTCTTATAACTTTTTGGTATTTATTCTCTTTTCTTCAACCATTTGGTAATTTTTGATTGACATACAACCTACTAAATTATTAAAATACATACAC